CAAAAAGGTGCCACGCCCCCTTCAACGCCCACAATCGCTAATATACGATTTTAAAAATTTAAATATTTCGGAAAAGTAAAAATGCAGTTTTATTGTGTTTATCAATACCTATCGAAATGTAGAAGAAATTTTTCAAATCGGACCATTCGTTAAAAAGTTATGCGTGATCAAAGTTTCTATCTCCATCTCCCTCGCACTCCCTTTACCTGAGTAACGGGTATCTGATAGTCGGAGCACCCGACTATAGCGTTCTCTCTTGTTATACCCGTTACTCGTAGAGTAAAAGGGTATATTGTATTCGTGCAAAAGTATGTAACAGCTAGAAGGAAGCGTTTCCGACCCTATAAAGTATATATATTCTTGATCAGGGTCACTAGCCGAGTCGATATAGCCATGTCCGTCTGTCCGTCTGTCCGTCTGTCTGTCTGTCCGTATGAACGCTGAGATCTCGGAAACTATAAAAGCTAGAAGATTGGCATTTTGCATGCAGATTCTAGGAGTTCCTACGCAGCGCAAGTTTGTTTCAAAAAGGTGCCACGCCCCCTTTAACGCCCACAATCGCTTATATACGATACATTTAAATATTTCGGAAAAGTAAAAATGCAGTTTTATTGTGTTTATCAATACCTATCGAAATGTAGAAGAAATTTTTCAAATCGGACCATTCGTTAAAAAGTTATGCGTGATCAAAGTTTCTATCTCCATCTCCCTCGCACTCCCTTTACCTGAGTAACGGGTATCTGATAGTCGGGGCACCCGACTATAGCGTTCTCTCTTGTTATACCCTTGCAGAGGGTATTATAATTTTGGTCAAAAGTGTGCAACGCAGTGAAGGAGACATTTCCGACCCTATAAAGTATATATATTCTTGATCAGGATCACCTCCTGAGTTGATATAGCCATGTCCGTCTGTCCGTCTGTCCGTCTGTCTGTTTCTACGCAAACTAGTCTCTCAGTTTTAAAGCTATCGGATTGAAACTTTGCACACACCCTTCTTTCCTTTGCACGCAGTATATAAGTCGGAACGGCCGGGATCGGCCGACTATATCCTATAGCTGCCATATAACTGATTGATCGGAAATGCCATAACTTTCGTGTTTGTAAAGTTAGGAAGTTGGGATTTTCTATGGGTTTTATATTTGGCCAATCAATCCGACCTACCAAATTTCATAAGGATCGGCCGACTATATCCTATAGCTGCCATATAACTGATTGATCGGAAATGCCATAACTTTGGTGTTTGTTAAGTTAGGAAGTTGGGATTTTCTATGGATTTTATTTTTGGCCAATCAATCCGACCTACCAAATTTCATAAGGATCGGCCGACTATATCTTATAGCTGCCATATAACTGATTGATCGGAAATGCCATAACTTTGGTGTTTGTAAAGTTAGGAATTTGGGATTTTCTGTGGGTGTTATATTTGGCCAATCAATCCGACCTACCAAATTTCATAAGAATCGGCGGACTATATCCTATAGCTACCATATAACTGAACGATTGGAAATGCCATAACTTTGTTGTTGTTAAAGCTAGGAAGTTCGGATTTTTTATGAGTATTAAGAATGCATATGAATAATTTTGGAGAATATAATTTACAGAGTATTCTGCAAGGGTATATCAACTTCGGCTCCGCCCGAAGTTAGCTTTCCTTTCTTGTTTTTTTATTAATTTTAGGCTGTCTTTCGAAGCATGTTGCACGTGATATTTTGTTTCATCCTTTTATTTTTGTGGTTTCCTATGTTGTTAAAAGTTTTAAAAACAAAGCAGGTCAATGAAATACTTAAAATTATTTCTTTTTTAAACCATTTTTTGCATTAAAATAAAAGAAGAAGTTTATAATAGTTTTTGTCCTGATTGACATTTTCGTTAAAATTTCCAAGTGCTTGGATTTTTATTTATTTTGTTAATAGAGCTTTAATTGTTCATGGGTGCGTGGTTTTTAAACGGGATTTAAAAAAACACCTAAATCTGTACTGTGCTGTTGCTGTAAGCTCGACAAACCTATTTAAATCAAAGCATTTTTCAACAAAAATCATTTACCTACCTTTTTAAAGTATTAAATTTTAATGGTGGTTAACTAGTCTGTAATCGAAGTTACTAACAAAACTTGTGAGACGCAAACTTTTATAATCCATAATTTAACGGCAGTTATATTTTTAAGAAGTGTTATTTAAGGTGTAATATCACGAGATAAAATTAAGAAGAAACGCTTTAAGTGCCACGACTATGAAACACCCGATACAAAATTATCCAATTTCACAGAAATTATGTCCCTTAACAGATGGCGTTAATCTCAATTATATTGGAACGGCAAACAAAAAGGATGAGGCGCCATTTGGCGTTAATGCATATTTATCTGCTAGAGCTGAACTTTTTGACTCAATTTCTTAATAACTTCTTTAACAATTGTTTGATTTCGAAATGGTTTTTTGTATGTCGATTGTTGATCGAATAATTATATACCGCCAAAAAACATTTATATTAAAAAAAAACATCATATCATATCATAGCCAATATATGTTTGTGAAATTACTTCAGCACTTCTCTATTCTAACAAAGTAAATATATTTTTGTTAAAAATTAATAACCAAATCCTCAGATTACTTGTGCAGGGTCAAAGCTATTAACAAAAACTTCCCGAATTGGGTTTGAGCTATTTGAAGGACATTAACCTGTTTTCCTGCTAGGGAATAAGAAATTTGTTTGGCAAAGTCAACATCCTATCTCGATTTCATTAGTTTAATAGTTCTAAATTGCTATTTTGACCCAGCTTAACTTTAATTTAAAATCAATCCTTTAAGGTATGTACGTATGTAACGTCTCTGGATATTCACTTTTTGTATCCTTGCAGAGAGTATTACAATCTCAGTTTGCAATGAATAAAATATTTCCGACCCTAAAAAATATATACCTTATAAATGTTGTATCTTCCTTGTTTAAAAAAAAACATAAACGAAAGTAATAAAATAAATTTGTACTATTTCAAAAATACGATTTTAATTTTATAAAAATTGGACAATTAAGAGACGGGTTCTCAGATAGATAAAGTGACTGCTACGAATATTTGGTTTTCTCGAGCGTCAATGTGAGAGCTAACATTAACAGGGACTCCCCGTTAAAAGGGTATATACCTTTTTTGTCGAAAAAAATAGAAAGTTTGGATTTTTTGTATGTAAGTAACAATTTTTCTTATTAAATGAATGATTATATTTTCTGAAAGTTTAGATTGCTGACAATGTTTATGCAAAAATTTGTGAAAAAATATTTAATAGCTTTTAAGGGGTGGCTGTTTCCCTTAAACGCCTTTTTTTGGAAGAGCCTTGCGGTGATAATTCCCCAGGACGAACGGGTCAACTGAAACCGTAAAAATAAAAATATTTCTTTAGTTTAGATTAATATCCTGTACTTGAACGAACGTTAAAAAAATTTTTTTTGTCCATACGGAACCGTTTTTTGAGTTGAAGTTTTTATACGCTAAAATTCTTACAAAACTATCTATTTCGGCGAATTAAAAATTTTTACATGAAAAATCGATCGTTCAAGTCCTAATAAAATTCATTACGAAGATCAAAAAAAAAAATTTGAAGAAAATCGGTTCAGTAGTTTTTCGCCAATCAATATCACCGCAGTCATTTTTCAAAAAACACCATTTCGAGATATTCGCGTTTAAAGTTTCAAGTTTTGGTTTGGGCGGGGACGAGGCGCGTGGCCGGGAGCGCTGTAACTTTCTTTATACTGCTCAAATCTCTATCAAATTTGGAAAAATGTCCTCAAAAAGTTGTTCTTCAAGATAAAGCAAAAAAGATTTTTCGATTTTTTGAAAATGAAAAAGGTATATACCCCCTTAAGTCTTTTTCTTTATCAGAATTTCAGAAGCCCGATAAAGAAGATTTAAACAAATAAACACTTTAGCTTGAGCTTCAATTAGATGCTAAATAAATAAAATTTTGTTAAAACAATTATTTTCCAAATTTTGGGGCTTCTATAGAATTATGTGACTTGAAGTTTTTGGTCTACATACCTTCTAACTTCCTTCTGGCACTCCACTTTTTGCTTTACTTTTCATGCTCTTTCTTTTTTTTTTCTTGCAACACATTAACTTTGAATTCGACTAAATGTACATTATTGTATTTTAAAGTAAACCCTAACGGTTCGTTTGCATTGCGAAAGGTTGCTTAGTTGGGAAAAGTTTTTTTGGTAACGCAAAGTTTTTAATAAGGGGCTTATAACTATGCTTATAACAATGGAAGTCACGGAAATTTACAAAATTATCAATTCGATGCAACGCATTTTAATATGCCAATAACCATGAGCACTAACTTAGTTTAGTAAAAGTATAATAAAATAGATACAGTTTGATGTTTGTTTAGATATGAAAAACAAACGTTTACGAAGTTGCTACCATCAACAATGTTCAACAAAGTTCGACAAGACAAAGTTGTTACAAAATTTAAATATTTAATTTTTTTCGATGTCGATGCTGAATTCTTCAAAATTGACTATATTCCCGAGTGGATTGTCATCCGACTTTTATAAATCTAAAACCGTATTTCTGAAAGTGCTAAACGAGTGGTAATGTAAAGAAAGAACGAAGTTACAATTTTTTCTTTTAATTTTTTTTCGCGATTGCTACTACGGAAGCTATATGATATAGTAGACCGATCCGATCGGCAAATCACTTTTCTGTGCTCTTTAGAGCCGTGGTGATCTCTGATTCAGACAGTACAAACATGATCCTGTAAATTCTTTTTGGTGTCTGATCTTTGGGTTAAGTCAAGTTAAGCGAATACAAAATACTCACATCACCTAATAGTTACTACATTAATGGTATTGTATTTTGATATTTTAATTACTATTTGAGTCAAACATTTTACTAAATATGTAATTACCAGGTTAGATAATCTTTACTTTTCAAGATTAAATTGCAAATAACTTATAATTATATACTTATTCCCTATCTAATTTCTTAATACTTGTTTCTTCTCTTTTTATTTCAGCAATTATAAAAAAACAGGTAAGTTTTTTATTTGAGTCTTTGTTAAAGATGTAAAGAAACTGAAAGTATGTATCGCTATGATTTTCTAAATACACACATATTGTAGGGCAATATGGATAGGGGTAAGGGGGTTATGAGCAAATGAAGTGCGTGCAAATAATTAAAAAGAAAAATTTTAGATGCCGTCAAAGAAATTAAAATCTATGTACAGACAAGGTAAAACCAAGATTTACACTATCCATTATTATAAGCTATACCAAATTTAGTTAGGTGTCCTCGTTAATCACCGTCGTCGATTTGTTGTCATGTTTTATTTTGTTAAGCGTCGGTTTCCTGTTTATATTAACAATAATAAGCGTGTGCCGTTGACATTTGTCACAAACCACATAAATTCAATTGATTTTCTCCCTCTCTATAGTCAACGCCAAATGGGAGTGATATTATATGATTTCTGTTACACGTTTTCTTCGTTTTGCATTATATTTACCTGCATTTTTGAATTGGCTTAAACAAACCTTTTCCATCTCGCCGTTAGTGTCAGCTGCAAATGAATTTCTTGTCTAAATTCAATACATTGTCTACCGACAAAGTTTAAGTAATGCTTTGGGGAGGAACGGTGAATGGGACGCAAATGATATTCCTTGGTGGACCTTAATGGCTTTATAATATAGTTTTTGCATTAAAAAAAGTTAAGTCACAACTCAACTGTTTGTTGTAAACATTGATTGAAATGTAAGCTCCCTGCAGTATAAATGATTTCTAGGCCATTTTACTTTGTTTGTACCAAAGACTGTATGGAAAACCCAGTAGATTTTAAATTGCTACACACTGCATGCGAAAACATCTTTATAGGTAAACAGCGAAATTAAAATATATATTTGTTTTTTTATTATTGTAAAAATAGTAAGGATCATATCCAATAAAATGGTTTGCACTTGATAGATGTCTTATTTATTTATTTAAATATTATGCATTGAAATATAGCTTAAAAAAAGTATAATTTGATTTGCAGGAGTCAGCTTTGTTATTCGTTAAAACATGATTAACACATATTTCAGCAGCTGAAATTTTGTACTGCCCCACGGTCCGCCTTTGACATTAGTTGCTTTCCTTACTGGCTTACCTTATAAGCGGCTTGCGATGTTGCTTTCGCTCTATTTGTTTGCCAATGACAGTGACTTCGGAAAGTATGCCGACCTATCGCTTACTTCACTGCCCACATGCGAAAATTGTTTTGTGTCTGAATGGCATTCGCTAGTAGCATTCGCATTGCATTAGGTGCGGTTTGTGACTTGGAGCTATTTAAGACCACTCGATTGTTATGACAAGAAGCGAAACTAAACAATGCACTTTACATAGAACTTTTTTGGTTATTTAGTAATAACTTTAAAACAAAGCAACAAAAGAAAAAAGTTGTAATTAATTTATAATAAGAGGATTATTATTTTTATTCCCTTGCAGAGGGTATTATAATTTCAGTCAAAAGTTTGCAACGCAGTGAAGAAGACATTTCCGACCCTATTATAATATATATATATATATTCTTGATCAGCATCACCTGGAGAGTCGATCTAGCCATGTCCGTCCGTCTTTCTGCCCGCCTGTCCGTTTGTACGCAAACTAGACCCTCAGTTTTAAAGCTATCTGCTAGAAACTTTCCCAAAAGTTGTCTTTCTATTACAGGTAGTATGTAATTTGGAACGAGCCGGATCGGGCGACTATAACATATAGCTCCCATTGGAACAATTGGAAAAAAAAATTCAAAAAAATTATAACTTTGTTGTTTTAATTTGTGGTTGTTGTTCTTTGTGATTTGGTAATATTTAAATATTAATTAATTACGGTTTTATTTAAATTAAAATCGGACAACAATATCATATAGCTGCCATAGAAACGATGGCAAAATGCAGCGCAAAATCAACATATTTCATATTGTTTTTAGTAATATAAAATGTAGTTGATTTGTAATAACTTTAAGGGTATTGTTATCTCTAAACCAAATACTAAGATTCAAACGCAACTGATTCTTACCAGACAAAAGAAGTTACCCTTTCAAACTTTTGATACATTACACATTATTCGTAAAACCAAAAAACCGTACTTTGGAGAATCCTGAGATTGAATATTTTTAGGTCTTACACAATTTCAAACTTGTCAAATATTAATTAAATTAAATGCAGTTATAATTAATCTCAAAAATTAACCCTAAGCTTTCAAAATTCTTTAGAAATGTTTTTTTTAAATAAAGGATTATGTAAAATATTTTCTAAAAATGATATTTAAAAATTTTTTAATTTTATAAATTAAATATCATTATATTTTTTTTAATTTTTCGATTTTTCTATGATAGCTATATATGTCCGATTTTTATATAATTAAAACCGAAATTCCATAGTATTTAAATATTACCTAATCCCAAAGAACCAACAAAATTAAATGATGTTCAAATGTATTTAAAATATTTATATCTTTTTCACATTGAAAATTTTAGTTTCTCACAGAGAATGTGGTTACTAGCCCTATTGAGCAATGTTAAACTGGATTAAAATGGGCAGAACTGTCAGTTCTAAAAAACTTTCACGTAGCTCATTTGGCAGCTGTAAGAAACTAATTTTCTTCTTTTTTTGTCTGATTGTCAGTCACGTTTTACTCTTGTTTGATTTAGCCATTTTATACCCGTTACTCGTAGAGTAAAAGGGTATATTGTATTCGTGCAAAAGTATGTAACAGCTAGAAGGAAGCGTTTCCGACCCTATAAAGTATATATATTCTTGATCAGGATCACTAGCCGAGTCGATTTAGCCATGTCCGTCTGTCCGTCTGTCCGTCTGTCCGTCTGTCCGTCTGTCCGTCTGTCCGTCTGTCTGTCTGTCTGTCTGTCCGTATGAACGCTGAGATCTCGGAAACTATAAAAGCTAGAAGATTGGCATTTTGCATGTAGATTTTAGAAGTTCCTACGCAGCGCAAGTTTGTTTCAAAATGGTGCCACGCCCCCTTTAACGCCCACAATCGCTTATATACGATTTTAAAAATTTAAATATTTCGGAAAAGTAAAAATGCAGTTTTATTGTGTTTATCAATACCTATCGAAATGTAGAAGAAATTTTTCAAATCGGACCATTCGTTAAAAAGTTATGCGTGATCAAAGTTTCTATCTCCATCTCCCTCGCACTTCCTTTAGCTGAGTAACGGGTATCTGATAGTCGGGGCACCCGACTATAGCGTTCTCTCTTGTTCTTTTTTGCTTCCTACACGGTTCTTGCGATATTGGGTCTCAGTCATTGTTCTTATGATTTTGTTTTCAGTGCCTCGCAGTTGCAGGCCTGCTTGTCAATAAGGTTCTTGACACCTTTACTTCATTTGCACAGATTTCTCTGGAAATGACTTTTGGTTTGCTTTTCAGTGTTTTATTTTTTAAGCACAACTCATGTAAATTCGATTTTTTTTTCCGCTGAAGAAAGAAAGCTAACAACAATCAAGATACTGCCATGGAAGATAACACATATATATAAAGCTTCATGGCAAAAATACAAAATATATGTTCATATTTTTTGTGCTTTAGATACTTGTATTCCACCCACATGAAATTAGTTTTAAAACAAGAGAGAACGCTATAGTCGGGTGCCCCGACTATCAGATACCCGTTACTCAGGTAAAGGGAGTGCGAGGGAGATGGAGATAGAAACTTTGATCACGCATAACTTTTTAACGAATGGTCCGATTTGAAAAATTTCTTCTACATTTCGATAGGTATTGATAAACACAATAAAACTGCATTTTTACTTTTCCGAAATATTTAAATTTATCGTATATAAGCGATTGTGGGCGTTAAAGGGGGCGTGGCACCTTTTTGAAACAAACTTGCGCTGCGTAGGAACTCCTAGAATCTGCATGCAAAATGCCAATCTTCTAGCTTTTATAGTTTCCGAGATCTCAGCGTTCATACGGACAGACAGACGGACAGACAGACGGACAGACGGACAGACGGACAGACGGACATGGCTATATCGACTCGGCTAGTGACCCTGATCAAGAATATATATACTTTATAGGGTCGGAAACGCTTCCTTCTAGCTGTTACATACTTTTGCACGAATACAATATACCCTTTTACTCTACGAGTAACGGGTATAAAAATGTTGTATTGTTTCGAAAGTCAAGTAAAAAAAATAAGTCCTTACTAACATTAATTATCAATGGATTAACAATAATTGTATATATACTTTTTCTAAGTTTTTTTTGTATTAATTTTTTTGCTTAAGCAAAATGAATTATTGTTCATAATTGATATAACTGAATGAATGGTCCGTTCATGGGTTGACAAAAGCCAAAGTACAAATAGTAATGAAATCATTTACATTCAATTTGCTGCAACAAATGGCAAATGTCTGGGTAAACAAAAGGCACCAACGAACTCTTACAAATAAACCCATAAAGATTTGTATTTTTCTGCAACAAAAGCTGCCCATCGCCGTCAGCGGACCAGACTACTGGTCACCACCCTGACCTCTGCTTCATGTTTTTGTGTTCCGCACGCTTAATTGCTTCTGACTTTAATGTTGCCTTGTTGCTGCTTCCTTGTGTTGGTTTGTTTAACTTTCAAGGTAAAAATAAGTATATACCTACGCCCCTTCCGCTCTCGCTATTTGATTTCCACGAAATAAAGATAGAAAAAGAGGCAAATAAAATGACTAAGATTGCGATTATCTTTTTAATAACATCTTGAGGAAGGTGAACATTTCCACAAAAAGGCGGGAAACTGGCAATAAAAAGAAACAACAGGCAGGAATTTAATTACCCCGCACCCAGATAACTCCCCATAATAAAGTGATAAAAAAACCCAGACAAAAACAGTGGAATTGGTCATAATGAATGAAACAACATTACCTGTCTATTTCTGAAACAACTTATTTCTTTTGGCTGTCTGCTGTTTCAACCACACACCAAATATATTTACTTTGCTAGTTTTTCCGCATGCCTGCTTGTCAAGAAGCAAATCTAAACTAATCGTTTCGGCGTTTTGCTCTGAATATTTTCATGGTTTTCATAAATACTGCTATTTTTATACCCTTGCAGGTATTTTAATTTCAGTCAAAAGTTTGCAACGCAGCGAAGGAGACATTTCCGACCCTATAAAGTATAAATATTCTTGATCAGCATCACAAGGAGAGTCGATATATCCATGTCCGTTGGCAGTCCGTCTGTCCGTCCCTCTGCAAACTAGTCCCTCAGTTTTAAAGCTATCTGCTTGAAACTTTCCCAAAAGTTGTCTTTCTATTGCAGGTAGTATATAAGTCGGAACGAGCCGGATCGGGCGACTATATCATATAGCTGTCATATAACTGAACGATCGGAAAAGCCATAACGTTGGTGTTTTTAAAGTTAGGAAGTTGGGATTTTCTATAAGTTTTTTTTTGGCCAATAAATCCGACCTACCGAATTTCATAAGGATCGGACGACTATATCCTATAGCCGCAATATAACTGATTGATCGGAAATGCCATAACTTGGGTGTTTGTAAAGTTAGGGTTCTAGGGTTCTTCTATGGGTTTTATTTTTGGCCAATCAATCCGACCTACCAAATTTCATAAGGATCGGCCGACTATATCCTATAGCTGCCATATTACTGAACGATTGGAAATGCCATAACTTTGGTGTTTTTAAAGTTAGGAAGTTGGGACATTTTATGAGTATTAAGAATACATCATATGAATAATTTTGACAAATATAATTTACAGAATATTCTGCAAGGGTATATCAACTTCGGCTCCGTCCGAAGTTAGCTTTCCTTTCTTGTTTTTTCTAAATCTCAATCATTTGAAAACATTATGATGTTACACTTTTAAACCCAAGCAAAAAACTACTAGAAATAAACTGCAAGTACCTATATAAAATAAAATTTATTTTATTTTGCATATAAACCCAGCCAAAGCGAGTAACAAAAGCTGAAAACGGCAAACGCAATGTCATTGTTGACATTCTTGTGAATGCCAGCATGTACACAATTATTTCAAGTAAATTAAAATGTTCCCTCGAGATTCTAGAGCACAGGCATTAGGTATTTAAATATACCTTTTGTTAAAATTGTATTGTATATCTTTAATTTCTATTGCTTTTGTAATTATATCGATTTCATTCCAAAATAACTATTGAGTACTGTTTCTTTTGAGGTGAAAGTGACTTCCCTCTTGATTAAATCAAAACTGTGTGGCCAGCGATTAGTTGGTAAGCATTTCTTTGTTGGCAAAAGGAAAGAGCTAGACCCATTTGCATAATGACATGGACTTGCTACTGCATCCCTCCGCCCTCTGCTGTGTGAATGAAAGGGGGCGGCTCCTGGCCCTGCCGCTGGCGTAGTTGCTGCGGGGGATTATTCTGAATACTGGGATGGGTATGGCCAGCTTGCTCCTGCTCCTGCTCCTGGTCCTGCTCCTCGCCATCCGCTTGTTCCTGCTGCGGTTGCTGGGAATCATCGGAGCCCTCGGTGACCTGGGGATCCGGATCACCTTCATTGCTAAGCAGGGCGTAGTTTTGGGGCTTCTTGAGAAGGAAACGAGTGTTCGGATGCTGCTTTGTCTCGAGCTCTAGACGGTCGATTAACCAGCCCTCATTCTTGCTGTTCGTGGCCCAGAAAAAGACGGTGCCCCTGTCCTTTGGACCCTGCACGGCCACCTGCAGCTGGGCCTTGTCCACATCGCAGCGGTTCTTCTCGTTGGACAGACTGAACCCGGACTCCTTGATGGGCTCGCCCAGCAGACCCACAGCTCCGCTGTGCTGGCGGAGTTGCTGGATAGCCATCTGGTAGTACACGGTTTGACGCACCCGGTCCTCAAGACTCCAGCGCATGTAGGCCAGGCCGGAGATGGAGGCCAGTGCCCCGCAGATGCAGATGCTGCCCATCATTCGCTTGGAGGGCAGACCAATTCGCAGTTTTAGGGTAGGCATTGCGACCTCTTAATCTGCAAGAAATCACTTTTAGAATTTTGTAAGGTGTCAGAGGCCTACAAATACTTTGAATGCTTAAGCTATGAACAACACAAGCAACCACTTAATGACAATAATCTCAAACTCAGATGCTTAGAGATTCAAACTTGGCGATCCGTTCCCACAAGCAGCAATTGAACGCACTGACCAACGAACCTTGAAATCATGCTGCCTAGGATCGTCGGGCGTTGCCTCCGGATAATTGCGGTATAACTTCCTCCTTGGCCTGGTCAACTTAAAGCTGCTGGCCAGCAGTCGTTGAGCACAAAACGCTGAGGAAGAATCCAGTAAAAAGAACAGAAAACTAGTTTTGATTCTTTGGCTAGCTGTACATAGTAGTTTTCTTTTTTGGTTTGTGGGCCAAACAAGCAGCGCCATTAATAACAGCCTCGAAGAGTGACCCGTCCAGTGGATAGACCATGGGTTGGACCCTAAAGCGGCTGTGCGAAATTCCAGTAGGACGATGGGAGTACATTTGTGTAGAGTTCAAGGGTATATTGAAATTGTAACGAAGTACATTTAACAAATTTTCACAAATTTCCATAGGAATAAAGAAGACATTTTCCGACCCTAAACAGTATATATATCCTTCATAGCAAACTAGTCTCTCACTTTTCTGTTAATCGGAAAAATAATTTATTTATTTTACAGTTTGTTTATTTTTAGGCACAATAGTCATTATTAACGAATTAATAAATATAGTTTTACCTTTTTTTTAATATGGGACGACTTTGGTCCTCGAAAATATATATTTTTTTAAGCATTACAAAAAAATAATTTATATGCAGGATACCTTAGTGATCGCTGTACAATAATATAAAAAATATAATAATCAAAACTTCAACACAGTAGCCGAATTTTTAGAATTGAACTCAAATTCATTTTTGGTGTCATTTTACTTTTGTTTAATTTAAGTAACTTATAACGATTGCCGTCCTTGGTATAAATTATAAAAAACTAAACTTTTAAATGAAAGTTAGCGCATCTTTGGGCAGAGATGTGTATATTAAGTTGTGTGTATTGCATAGTCGGGATACATGATTATATTACTTTTTTTTGTCTCAATATAGCAGGGATATTTTTACTTGCCAGTGCCAGTGGAGCTGAGGGAAGAGGCATCGGGAGACCATGGTATCCATTTAGGGAGCACATGGTTATTTAAAAATAGTTTACCAAGAATGCATGGCATGAGGAATGCGCACATCTCGGCAGTAATCGATAGTGTTGCAACGCCTGTCACGGATGGGAACGCATCTGATACTGGCCAAGAGTGCGGCCTAATCTATCAATGCATCTTCAAGTTTGAATTTCTGCTGCGGCGAGGCTGATGTTATATTTCTGGCCAAAGTGGCCTCTGCTCCGGTGTGGCTGTCTTTATCGTGGGGGGATCATGAGTGACTCTGTCTGCGTGTCCGTCTTCAATCCTCTGTGACCGCCCTCCTCTGGCCAGGATAAGTGACAATTTCTATGTTCGTTTTTTAGCCTCATTAAGACCTCTCCAAACACGGCCACTTTAAGACCTTTTTAGCGTGCTTATCTTTACGGCCAAACTAGCTAGTGATTGCCTCTCAATTTCCTTCCATCCTGGGTCTTCATCGTTAAGTACGACATGACTTTAATGTACTCAGCATGGCGGCTAGAGCAAGGCGTTCCATAAATCAAATTAAGTCGGTCTTGGGAAACAGGCTATGGGGTACATAACGCTAAAACTGTTGTCTGCCGCTTAAGTATTTCTCAGAAAGTAATTTTTTTAGTTTAATAGATTTAGGGGAAAACTCAGGCTTTGCAGGTGTTTTAGTTGATCACCTAATGCCACATCTATAAAAATTCTTACCTCTGCGAAAGCATAGCATTTCCGCTAAAAATTACATCAAATTGTAGAGTATAAGATTTCTTATCACATTTTTTTCAAAGTTTTTACCATTTTAAAAACGAGTCATAACTCATTAATCAAAATAAAAATAAATTAATCCGTTTATATTACATTTCAATGTGTTTATTTTAGGCACATGACACATAATCCAGAGAACAGACAATTTATCAATTAACCAAGGCTTTTTAATTATTTGTATGCTGAAAACAAGTAAACGAAGCTCAGCATAAATTAAGCAAGAGGAGGGTCAGTCCCTGAGCTGACTCATAAAACAAGCTGCTTGTCTCTCCAAAGATGAGACATGCAAAAGAGCGCAACAGTGCGACAAACTAGTAATGATCGTCTAGTTCAACTGAGATTTTGTTTAACCCCAGTGTTTCTACTCGTCGTGGATAATTTATTTTTATTTATTTTTAATCAATCCTTGGCTCTGTCAATTTGTTTCGATTAGCACAAAGTTCTTTTGTTTCCTAAACCTTCATTAGTCCAACAGGCCTTCAAGGCTCGTCAACAAAATTACCCATTTGCTTAAAATTTTAGAAGACCATCCGACCATCAATTATAAGAGACTACTGAAGCTCGTGGGCAAAAGAGGTTAGCGCAGTCACTCGTTCAATCAGTGAGTTTATCAGACAGGCAGCTAAGCGTTTACTCAATCAGCTATTATTTTCAATAAAAACAAAATATTGGCATTAGGAGCCGTTGGCACATAAAAAAATCGAAGAAAAAGACCGAGAAAAATGATGGAGAGAAGCAGCCCAGCAATGGCTGTGCGCCTGCGCAACACGCAATACCAAAAGAGAAGCCGCTGGCAACGACATCGACTGCCACGTTGAAGTTAAAGCCAAAGCCAAGGTTTCTGTTTTTGTAATTGCTTGTCTCCGCTTAGCTTCAAGTACGCGCAACAACAACCAAAGCAAATAAGCAACGACATGCGTCTGAGTAATGTTAGCGCCATAAATAGAGAAGACAGACAGAAACAAGCTGATTGGAGGTAGACGGCAAAAGATGTAGAGACGACGAAAAGACCGGGTCCAACGTGTATTTAATTGCAAGTTGTAAAAATCTTTTAGGGTGGAGCTAATCACCAAGCAAAAATAAAAAGACGAACCTCTGAAAAGTCTATTGAAGGCCAAACCAAGCGATGGGAAATATCCCTCTTCCTCGGATATTCCAACGAAAGTTCAGAATTAAATCTTTCTACTATGCTGGACATTAACTAAGACTTCCTTCTAAATTTAAAGACAAATAAAAGAAGAAATAAAATAAAATACGAAAAATCGAGTGGTTTGCCAGGTAGTTTCATATTTTGTTGATAATGATGAATTACTAAATATAAGATAGATCACTTATACAGTTTAAACTGTAAGAAAAATACAGGGTTTAGAAGATGTACATAGACATACATTTTTTATTATTTGTCCCAAGGAAAAAAATTAATTTTTTTTATTACTAAGCCAATTTACTAAGGCAGCTAAACAGCTACACGGACATGGCTATATTAACTCGCCTAGTAAAGGTTATTAAGAATACATACACTTTATAGTGTCGCAATCGTCTTTTTCACCACACTGTGCGTGTTTTTCTACTTAGGCTGCCTGCGATTGCAAAACTTTTAAGTCTTATTTTGACATTATACTTTAAAAAAAAATTTGGATGCCAAGAAATAATACAAAACTGCCAATTCGTTGTAAAATTATAAACCTTAATTAAATTTAATTCTAAGCTAAGAGTACATACTGGAGCAGCACATGCCGTCTGACCCATACATACATACCATGCCATGTGGTCGGCAGAATCTATCCACAACCAAGCTCTTCCGCTTGAACTATGGGAATATTATCTCATATGGTAGCTGCTGGTTGCCGCTGTTTCAGTTGCTGATACTTCGGCTGCTATAGGAGCTCAGTTACATTTGGGAAATGGGTAAACAATGGATACTGATAAAGTCAGGAAGAAGAGTAGGCGAAAGCAGTTGCATCGGATGCTATGCACTCTTCTGTGAAATAAAGTAGCCGAGACAAAACACCAGCAGACTCTCAGTCAACAATGCGAAGTTGCGCGCGAGTTACAAGTTGAATCTGTGTCTTGGGATTTCATTCTTTTATCATCGGCTGTCAGACAGGCGACAAGCGAGCGAATCGAAACTGCTTTTAAGAATTTTCTTTTTAGAAAATGTGACTATAACGTTTCCTGCAAGGGCTGGCTTTTGTTGTCGAATTTACGGAAACCAGTTAATTGTCTCTTTTATGATTATGTATGTGCTAGCGAAAGACCGAGCTTGTTTTACACATTTTACACATAAAGAATTGGTCCATCTTATAATAAAACTATAATCTTATTAAACTATTGGCGTTAATTGTAAAATTGAAAATTTAATTGAGATTGCGTTAAAATATTTGGATTTGAAGATTTCGTGCAATAGGGCAGGAGTTTGTGTGTACCGAGTATTTAAGGATAAGCAATCTGTTAGCAAGGGTAAGGAAGTAGTGCCCAATCAACATCAACATTTTCTGATACCAAATTTCATGATGAAAAATTGTTATATTTTCATCTAATTAAATACAACATTAAACTGTTCTGTGCAATTGTATAAAATACAAAATATTTTCTCTCACAAAAAGTAAAACCGTCCAAATCCATAAGGAGACATCTCCGACCCTATAAAGTATATATATTCTTGATCAGGATCACCTCCTGAGTTGATATAGCCATTTGATTAGGATCGGCCGACTGTATCCTATAGCTGCCATATATGTAACTGAACGATTGAAAATGCCATAACTTTGGTGTTTTTAAAGTTAGGAAGTTGGGATTTTTATGAGTATTAAGAATGCATCATATGAATAATATTGGAGAATATAATTTACATAATATTCTGCAAGGGTATATCAACTTCGGCTCCTTTCTTGTTTCAGAATCAGATTGTATTCTATAGGTAGATAAAAATATGCTATCTAAAATGTGTCAAGGTTAAAATTATTATTTATTTATTTCTTATGTTATAATATTGTTCATATACTTATAATACCCTCACCATCTTTTTTTTTTAATTTTAAGTAATAAAATGTGTATACGATTTAATTTTACAAGATTTGCCTTTTAAATTTATTTAATATCTTTAAAAAATGTCCGTTTTTAAGCTATGTGGATGCAACTGTCTAATAGTCTTCTTTCTATC